CTGCAAGCAGGACTAGGTCATCGGCATAGGCTAGAGCCGAGACTCGCTCCATCTCTAGCCTATAGCCTACCTCTTTCGGTAGAGCAGCAAGAATTACGTCCATCGCCATGTTGAACAGGATGGGCGACAACGGGTCTCCCTGACGCACACCTCGGCCCAATCTAACAGGTTCACCCGACTGCCCGCCGACGTCCAACTTGGTGGTCGCCGCGTCGTACAGCCGGTGGATGTAATCACAGAATGCCACGGGCAACCCTCGAGCCCGAAGAAGCCCGACCAGCGCTCTATGAGACACTGTGTCGAACGCCTTCGCGAAATCGAGAATAGCCACATGACACTCTCTTAACTTTTTCCTGCTATCCCCTAGCACCGCGTCCAGCACGGCGGAATTCTCCAACGTGCCGTCGGCGCGGACGAATCCACGCTGTCGTGCATCGGGGGGGCAGCAATCCAGAAGCCTTCTCGCCAGGATCGAGTGCATGTGCCTAAGCGGTATCGAGGCGATCGAGATCGGTCGATAGTCGCCCGGCCCAGCAGGATCATCCATCTTCGGCACGAAGACTGTCCGGCATTGCCGCAGGGGCTCTGGTATTACGCCAGTGGTCAACCAAGAGTTGAAAATTTCCGCTTTTCGGGCCGCAGGAACTAGGCGCCACTCATCCGGACGGATACCGTCCGGACCAGGCGCTGTCTGCCAGTCAAACTTGGACGCCTTCACTTCGTCGGTCGTGAAAGGCATCCACAGCCGAGAGTAATCGCGTGCGCCCCCATACTGCTCCTCCCGCCGTAAGGCGTTTAGAGCAGACGGTGTAGGCCCTGAGGCATCAGACACCCTCTCTAGGACCGGTCGCCAATAGGCTTCCAAATCTTCGAGAGAGTGCCGGACGCTCCTGTGCACTCCATCGATCACCTCGGCTGCTGCTCGACTGCGACACTTCTGGAATAGTTCCTGTACCCTGGCGTACTCTATTCTCCTCCTCTTGCGGCTCGACAAACCGGCCAGTGCGGTGTCGGCCCGAGTCACGTTCGGTATGCGGTGCCGCCTCGCACTACGGGAACCCAGGCCGTGTCGCGACCTCCTCACCGCGGCCCTCGCTAGAAGATCCGCGACAATTTGGTCTGCACACGTGTTATCTGGGGCACCACCTAAGTGCGGTGATGGATCATCGGCGACAGGCGGTGCGTCTTCAGCTGGCAGAGGCTGGACCGGCATCTCGACACTTTCAGATTCCGGCCGTGTCGAACCCCTGTTCTCTGGCGCTTGGCTGCTTATTGGTGGGGATCTGTATTCTTCCCGGCACGCTTGTACCAGGATCTTATACTCCCCACAGCGCCTCTTTCCTTTGATTGCCTCTAGGGTCCGCTCGGACCCCGACAGGCTTTTGTACAGGTCTGCGTTCGTACATCGTCCGGTCTCCTCCAGTAATCGCGCCTCTGTACGCGCCATCAATGCCAGCTCCTCATCGCGCCACCTGCGCTTCACCATATTTGGAGCGGCCTCCGCATTTGCTACTTCGGGGTGGGCCCTACGCTTGTGGACCCCCAACCCCGTTTTGGTGGTGAACGCACGTCCACACACCGGACAAGTCCAGTCAATGACCGCGGAAACTGTGGCCGGAGCCCCAGCTTGAGCGGCCGAAGATTGGGCCAAGCTCCCCGGCTCCTGTGGGAGGCCAGGGTGGCAAAATAAATCATTTTCATTCCTTACTTTGTCCATTGCTTGTGTTTGTGCCCAATGTGGCCGGGGTGCAAGCCCAGCCACCTGGTTCGCCTACCGCATCTCGTATTGTCCCGACCGAAGTCAGCGGTTCGACTTGGCGACATATTGCCACCCGATGGGACTATTCAGGAATCTCACCCGAACCTAGCCCGGATTACGCCCCATGATCTAGGACGCTGCGCATACTAGACGAATCTAGCAAACCCGGTTCACAAGCCTGACTAAAGTCTCCCGTCCGACTGCCAACAACACGACTGAAAGCCGCGAAGAGACAGCCGAACGGGAGACTATAGTGGAAACGCGCTGGGCCTCGCAGAATTAGGAATGTGCCAACGAGGCGGTCACCCCGCAACAGCCATCTCCGGGGCATACTAATTTAGGCACGTCCCCCCCTCCCGTGTCAGTTATAAGCGGCGGTGCCACGTGCAGGCCTCGGGTAGGAGTTGAGTCTGCGTGTCTGGAAAGGGTCACCCAGGCACACAAACCCCATTTACTAACTCAACAGAGATCGTGTATTGAAGTGGCTGAAAAATGGCTGGCGGTTTCCCAACCACCACACTTTGCTCCGTTGAGAGAGGAGCACACACTATCTCCTCCCGTTAGGGCCGGGACGCGAGCAGGCGACCCCGCTGCGCCCCGTTAAGAGGCTATCAGGACCTCAGCGATCGGTATTATCGTTTAACGCGCGCACCACGGCGCCAAGGATCCACCTCGGAGAGTCATAGTTACTCCCGCCTTAAGAGAGTCATAGTTACTCCCGCCGTTTACCCGCGCTTGCTT